CTGAGTCGGACTGGAGCTCTCTGCCCTTTACCAATCCAGCCACGGGCCCATCCATCTGGCCCATCAAGACTCACTCTCATTTCATCAGTCCATAAAACCTTAGAAAAATCAGTCTTGAGATATTTCTTGGCCCAGTCTTGACGTTTCAGCTTGTGTGTCTTGTTCAGTGGTGGTCGTCTTTCAGCCTTTCTTACCTTGGCCATGTCTCTGAGTATTGCACACCTTGTGCTTTTGGGCACTCCAGTGATGTTGCAGCTCTGAAATATGGCCAAACTGGTGGCAAGTGGCATCGTGGCAGCTGCACGCTTGACTTTTCTCAGTTCATGGGCAGTTATTTTGCGCCTTGGTTTTTCCACACGCTTCTTGCGACCCTGTTGACTATTTTGAATGAAACGCTTGATTGTTCGATGATCACGCTTCAGAAGCTTTGCAATTTTAAGAGTGCTGCATCCCTCTGCAAGATATCTCACTATTTTTGACTTTTCTGAGTCTGTCAAGTCCTTCTTTTGACCCATTTTGCCAAAGGAAAGGAAGTTGCCTAATAATTATGCACACCTGATATAGGGTGTTGATGTCATTAGACCACACCCCTTCTCATTACAGAGATGCACATCACCTAATATGCTTAATTGGTAGTAGGCTTTCGAGCCTATACAGCTTGGAGTAAGACAACATGCATAAAGAGGATGATGTGGTCAAAATACTCATTTGCCTAATAATTCTGCACTCCCTGTATAATGTAAAGACACGTAGCTAAGTTAGTTGGTGTGCCAGTAGTGCATCAAGTAGTATTTGAGCAGCTGTCTGGTAAGTAATTGAAACATGGTTAAATACGATAAACAATACATTATAAAGTAGTGCCTAGCTTGGGGTCATTAGTGGGACTGGGGGTTGGCCCCTGCATCCTGTGTGTGTGAGAGGGTGAATCAGTCGTCCTATGTCCTTCTTAAAGGGACCGTCACCTCCATGTGGTGAGTAGCATGTCGTGTATTGCCGTGCCGGGTAAATTAAGTGGTCTATAGGCAAGGAGAGTTAGACTTAGTGTTGCTGATAGTTTGCAGCACTGATGGGAAGTAGTGGGGCCCGAAGGCGTGGGGAGGGAGGGTGGGGAGTAGTTGAGGCGAATGGTCAGCTCCTGGTCAGCTAGGTGTGCCTAAGCCCCTGTGGTCTATTAAGTCATTGGTGTAATAACCTATGGTAAAACAATGTGTGGAAACTTAGACTAATGAACTAGGAAACAATTAAAACAGTGCCCTATGGGCTATGTGAGTTCAGAGTCAGGTTGTGACAGCAGCGTATGAGTCCCAGCTTGCCTGTCTCGGGACAAACAGGGTGCTTCTTGCCGGGTCCCAGTTATGGGTCGCTTGGGTTGCCGTGTGATTATCCCGCTGGCCTAGTAAGTCCGGGGTTAGGCCCAGGTCTTTCAGTAGTGCCGCCAAATCCTGTAGATCAGGCTTCCCCAAACTCCGTCCCTCCAGATGTTGCTGAACTACAACTCCCATGATTCTCAGTCTATTTCATTCGTAGAATCATGGGCGTTTTAGTTCAGCAACATCTGGAGGGCTAGAATTTGGGGAAGCCTGCTGTACATCTTGTATGGTGTGTGTGTTGTTCCCCTACTGTAAAGCTAATGCTCTGGACTGGTGCCAGCGGTAGCGAATTCCATGCTGCTGGAGCAGGGTGGTGAGTGGTTTCATCGATCTTCGCCAGGCCAAGGTGCTGCTTGAAAAATCGGCATAAAACGTCAGTGACATACACTCAAATTGAAAGGGCGAGTTCTCCTTCAAGGTTGTGAGGAGTGTTGCTTTGTCTCTCCCATTTTGGAAGGTGATGATTAGGTCTCTGAAAACCTCTGTCGGTCCCTTGGCAGGTTTGGGGACCCGAAAGATTACATCCAGGGTTATGGTCTTGGCCTGTCTGGGAGTTAGTAAGGCTGTTAACAAGCGCCTCATGCAGTGTGGTAATTCAGCCTCCAAGACCTCCTCTGAGATACCACTGATTTTGAGGTTGTGTCTCTGCCGGGTGTCTTTTTGTGCTGCAAAGTGGCAATCATACAACAGGGTCTGTGGCTTCAATTCCTGCACCTTGTGAGAGGTGCTTTCTAGTGCTCCTATGCGGATCACAGTTACATCTGCCAAAATATTTTTCTGCAGGTCCGCCAGGAGGGCCTTTAGGACCACTGTCGTCACTGGGGGGGTAATCCAGACCAGATGGGGCCTTCAGCGATGGAGCTGGATTAAGTAAGAAATCCTTTTCCGCATCCTCTAAGTGCTCCTCGGAGAAGTCGGAGCAGCCGCCTGTTAGCGTCGCCATCTTGGGCCCGGGGGCTCCATTCGCTTGCTACCACATATCCCCTACTGTCAGCCCATAGGTAGGTTTGTCCGGCTTTGTTTTTTTTTTTTTTTATCCCATTTGGTTTAGGATTACCAGGGTAGCCCCCCAGTCAGGGTAATGGGGTGAATTATTTGTACAAACAGCTTTGTTCTTTGAGAAAAACCCAGAGGTGCATGCTAGTGCGACCGCTCGTTGCAGAGGTCAGGCTCCACCCCCAGATAAAAATATTTAATGAAAATAATTCAACAAAAATTGTATGATTGAATATCACTGCAATACAAGTTATATACATTTTAAGCTGCCGATTCATAGTATTAATCGCAACAGTGTATTGTAATATATATTATCGCTATATTACATAATATATAGGTAATTGATAATAATGAGCAAGGGTATTTAATCATACCTCGGGTAGGGCACCAATAAACTTTAAGTAAGCCCGGAGATATGGGAAAAACGTGTTAGTCACGGGGTACAAAATTATGAGACTGCAACATGTGAAAGTAAAATCAAGACGGAACGGATGGAGCAGATTCACCACAAATTGTAAGCCTGCGACACATTCTTGTATGTTTTTAATACAATAACAGAATTGCAAAGGCTGGTGTTCCACTTTGTGTGTTGTATACTGTGGGACAGTCTAAGACTAAGGTTAGAGTCAGCATGTAAGGGTATTGGTGCTGGTATCATTTGCCTGGTTTTGCTGTGCAATTGTAGTGTCTTTGCTTAAAGGAACACTATAGGGTCAGGAACACAAACATGTATTCCTGACCCTATAGTGTCAAAACCACCATCTAGTTGCTTTCCTCCCCTTAGCCCCTTAACAGGTTATAAAACATGCCTTATTTCAGGTGCCGTGTAGATTCACCGGTGCTGGCCTAGCCCCTGATCCGCCTCCTTGCTGACATTGTCGGAATTTATGGAGCTTCTATTATTAGCTCTACTATGCAATTGGAAGCTCCAAGTGCTGGAACCTTTTAAGTAAGAAAAACACATAAACATTTGGACTTCATTTTAAATTGATTAAATATTTTTGTTTTCTGATGCCATCAACCCCTAAATTCAGTAGGATACTATTGTATTATTGTATTGTACAAAAAAATGAAGGGAAAAACAGCCCCGTGACAAATCAGGCTGTTCTCCTTCAAACCACCCAAAACAAATCAACGTCTAAGAAAAATAAATAAATTTTATTAAGAATAAAATCAGACAACCTAAGGACTCGTATATAAGACAGTAAGCTACAAGGTTATAATGGAAACAGCATGTATCAGTCACTGTTATATGTAGCAGAATAAACTCAAACAGGATTAAAGCTACACATGATACTTAGATACATATTGAACCTAACAAAAGGGATAACCTTGTATATAGATGGTGAAACAAATGGGGAGGACCATATAAATAAAGGGAAGGTTCAGGTAAACTCCAGAGCTGAAAAAATCAGTCTCATAATAACCCCATATTATAATGAATGGTCGCCCCAACGTATTTAAACACTCACTATACTGTTATTAGGAGTTCACTAAAGGTAAAGGTATATTCAAACAAAAATGAATTGAGAAAAAGTAAAAATAAAATTAAATCACATAACCTAAGGACTCATAAAGATAACACAGTACTATCTATAAACTGCAAGGTCCTAATAAGATGAAAAGTAATCGGAACACTATTCCATATAGTAGTCTAAACTCAAAAAGAGTTAGTGCTAAGTAGATAAACCCTGCAGAAAGACAGAAAGTGCAAATTAGTAGACTTGCATTGGAAATCGAAAGGATAGGGAAGATATTATAAATGAAGAGAGAAAAAATAGAGATGGATATAAATATAAGTATAAAGTTGGTCTAAATAAGACAGATAGAACTTGATAGATCCACACTAAAGGTATAACAATGTCGGAGAAACAAGCCCAACAGGCTACCTTTAGTGTTACTCTTCTAGATTAATGTTTTAGTAACTCTGGGGTCGATCGGTTCTATACGCTGGGATGATTATTTGATAGGGAGACATTGCGAGGTGGATCTATCAAGTTCTATCTGTCTTATTTAGACCAACTTTATACTTATATTTATATCCATCTCTATTTTTTCTCTCTTCATTTATAATATCTTCCCTATCCTTTCGATTTCCAATGCAAGTCTACTAATTTGCACTTTCTGTCTTTCTGCAGGGTTTATCTACTTAGCACTAACTCTTTTTGAGTTTAGACTACTATATGGAATAGTGTTCCGATTACTTTTCATCTTATTAGGACCTTGCAGTTTATAGATAGTACTGTGTTATCTTTATGAGTCCTTAGGTTATGTGATTTAATTTTATTTTTACTTTTTCTCAATTCATTTTTGTTTGAATATACCTTTACCTTTAGTGAACTCCTAATAACAGTATAGTGAGTGTTTAAATACGTTGGGGCGACCATTCATTATAATATGGGGTTATTATGAGACTGATTTTTTCAGCTCTGGAGTTTACCTGAACCTTCCCTTTACTTATATGGTCCTCCCCATTTGTTTTACCATCTATATACAAGGTTATCCCTTTTGTTAGGTTCAATATGTATCTAAGTATCATGTGTAGCTTTAATCCTGTCTGTGTTTATTCTGCTACATATAACAGTGACTGATACATGCTGTTTCCATTATAACCTTGTAGCTTACTGTCTTATATACGAGTCCTTAGGTTGTCTGATTTTATTCTTAATAAAATTTATTTATTTTTCTTAGACGTTGATTTGTTTTGGGTGGTTTGAAGGAGAACAGCCTGATTTGTCACGGGGCTGTTTTTCCCTTCATTTTTTTGTATATTTCGTGCTTTATGCAGGGTTATGCCCGTATTACCACCCTTATAACCCGTTTCTCTCTGTATTCCCTATTTGGATTTTCTATCTAGGGAATACCTCTATTTAGTATTATTGTATTGTATTGTATTGGAGTTATATAGTGCGCCAACTCATAATTTACACTATCTAACCTATGAAGTTGTCATTAGACAGTTTTTCTTAGTTTATGGCAAGAGTTGTAGATATACGTTGTGTACTAATAGTAAGCACCCGCATCTAAATTGTCCCAAACGCGAGGCAAACTAAGTTGGACGTTTGGTCACCCATATAGTTCCAGCAGCATCCCAAGTTCTTTTTATCCATAAGCGATATAGTAGTTCAGTTATGAGTTTGTTAAAAAACCAGTGCAAATCACAGTTAATGAATATCTCATTTTATGTGTCTTGGCAACATCTGCAGTGTATCCATTCTCTCCTATGTTAACAAAATGTCCAGTTATGTTGCGTGTACACACACCACAGTCCCTGCAACCTCTCTACTGTGTCACCTTTAATTGTGCACTCACACACATTTAACAACCATTTAAAAAAAACAAAAAACTCTTTTGTGTTTGCAATTGTTTGATATCCATGAGAGCAAAGTATTTCTATGGGGTTTTTTTTAACAAAATATCCAAAGGTTAAACAATAAAAATAATTTCATTAATCAAAAAATTTATCAAGGGTAATTAAAATAAAGAAACCGAAAAAGCCAAGCCAAGGTCTTTATCCACACAATTGGAATTAGAATAATTTTAAGGAGATGAGTGGTTGGACGGTGGTGACAATTGTAACAGCACCTGAAAGAAAGCATAGAAAACATGACAATATCAGTGCGTAGGGAAACTGACATTAGCTACACTATACGTAGGTATATCACGTACGTTTGATAACATCTAGAGCAGGTGTGCCCAAAAGGTAGATCCCCAGATGTTTTAAAACTACAACTTCCATGATGCTTTGTCATTTTAAAAACATTTTAACCCCTTCCCGACCGCTGACAGTTTAGGACCATCATCCGAAAAATCCACTTGAGGACCAGTGACGGTCCTTAACCGTCATAACGGAAATCTTTACTTACCCGATCGCCGTCGTTCCCCGGCGGCGATCGCCATTGCTCCCGGTGTGGGGAGACTGCCTGCAGTCCAGGCAGTCTCACCGCGGTGAATTAGGACCCCGCGGCCATGTGATCGCTCAACAGAGTGGTCACATGATCACAATAGGTGTTCATGTATCTGCCTGCAGGGGGACTGTCTGGGCTGACAGGCAGTCTCCCTGCTGCTGTAAAATAAAATTAAAAAAATGTTAATATTAATAAAAAAATATAATTAAATATATATATATATAAATGATATATAGACATATATATATATATATATATATATATATATATATATATATATATATATATTACACAAGATCCAGCGCACTCACCTATCCACTAAACAGCAACTTCAATGTTAAAAGATTTTATTAGTGTTTTTAAAAACACCTAATCTAGGCAAAAATAATGGGGGTTTAGTTACATTATATGATCATACATTGCATAAGTCTGCCACAACGGGCCAATGTAAATTCCCATCTTGGCAGGTCCTACACCAACAGCCTAATGTTCAAGCTCTTATGAGATTAACCTACTTGGGGAAAAATTCCATCTGGGCTCTCTGCAGTACAAGGCTGGGGCTGAAATCTTGGGATGAGGCAGCACCTGTGACAGGGAGGCAAAAACCAAGGAGCTGGGCTAGACTCCCAAAATTATATATATATATATAAACAAGAGGGGGTTGGCTGCACTCACCTTAAAATGTGTACAAATGGGGGTGCTGCTGGGGCCAAATAATACAATACACAAGATCCAGCGCACTCACCTATCCACTAAACAACATCTTCAGTGTTGAAAGATTTTATTTGTTTTTTTAAAAACACCTAATCTAGGCAAAAATAATGGGGGTTTAGTTACATTATATGATCATACATTGCATAAGCCTGCCACAACGTCAATGGACCCCATCTTTGGCAGGTCCTACACTAACAGCCTAATGTCTGCTCTTATGAGATTAACCTACTTGGGGAAAAAAATTCCATCTGGGGCTCTCTGCAGTACAAGGCTGAATAGGGCCCTGGGATGAGGCACCTGTGACAGGGAGCGGTGCAAAACCAAGGAGTTGGCTAGACTCCCAAATATATATA